ACTGCTTCACTATTTGTAAATCTGATAGCTATGTGTAATGCAAGTGTTCGTAGGACTTTGTTAGAATGGACGGTTTGTGAATGAAGTGAGAAAAGTAGTGAAACTGAAACCCTTTGCATTTCATTTTTTTCCCCGTTGTAATTGTACATTCCAAAAGATTTTATTCTAAACTTGGGAAAGGTTGGAAGATATATTGATAGGGCGAGCATATATTAGGTTGTTGCAAAAGTCATGTCGGTATTGACAACTTTATTTTCTCAACTTTAGAGCTTTGCAACAAGCGAGGCGAGACCGAGACCACATATTCGCCATAGTTGCAGATGACCTTCGTCCATCTTCTGGGCAGGTCATGGATGCCTTCTCTGTAGAAGGACTTGGGCTTCGAGGTGAAGAAGTCTGCGAGGCCGGTTTCCATGGCCTGTCGATTGGTGAAGCTCCTCCCAGCCAGGTGATTTTTCAGCGATCGGAATAGATGATAGTCAGAAGGGGCAAGGTCCGGGGAGTACGGTGGGTGACAGATCACTTCCCAGCCGTACCCCTGTAGCGTGCTGCGGGTGACGTTCGCGACGTGTGGGCGCGCGTTATCGTGTTGGAAAAACACGTGGCCTGCCCAGTAAGGATCGGAGTCCAGTTTCNGGACTGGGTTGATCGATCCCCTCGCCTTCGGGGTGAGTCTCAGAATTCCTACTTTTTTCTGGACTAAATTGCAATGCTTTTCCTCTATAGGGTTCTTTAGAACTTCATGATATTTGCTAAATACTGACATCTCATATACACACATGTGCACATATGTGCACACAAAATAATTATAAAGTCAGTTGACAGATGTACAACATTCTAGGGCAAAAACTATGCACTCCAGATCAATTAATTTTTTTAGAAAAGTGTACATCAGTACATTATGGTTAGAACATATGTAAAAAAGGAAGCACAAGCCTCATGGGTGGCACTGCTGGTGTGATGTCATGTATTCAAGGTATGAAGTGCTCAATATGTCCCCCCACTGAACTCCACTACTGCTTAAAACCAGTATCCAAGATTGCAGACTATGGCTCTCAACATGACACAGGGAATAGAGAGTACTTCTCAGGAAATGGCATCCTTCAGTTCTAGTAATGATGTTGAATTGAGAAAAGGCCACCCATGACTTCAGGTACTCCCACAGCCAAAAGTCTACTGAGTTTGAATTTACCATCAAGGGTTCTGGTATAGTATGCGCTCTACCTTCAGGGTCATCAGTATACATTTTCTGACATGAACCACTCAGATCACCAGCTACTCAGTAGACTTTTGACAGTGGGGATATCTTAAGTCATGGGAATCTCTCAGCTTGTTACACACATAGCAACACATTACATCATGTGTTTCTTTTTTGCATAATAGTCTCCCCATGATGTACTGATACTACTCTCAAATTTTTTCAGTGTTGTAGTGCAATGTTTTTTGTTTCAGAATATTCACCTGCTGACTGACTTTGTATATATGCATGACTTTGTCTGTATATGCCTTGTATATATACAAGAATTTGAATGTTGGGTTGAGAGGTGGTACGTAAATATAGCTGCAAATGGAGATTACATTGAAAGTAGACAATTGTTTCTCTATGGTCTCCTCTATCAATTTCAAATGTTATTTTGTAAGATTTGGAATAAACAAGTTATACCCAAACAGGCATTACTTTTCAAGCACCCTGTGTATGTATATGAGGTGTGATCAGCAAGTTCTGAGACTGAATTTTTTATGACGCTGTGGTGACTCTTTCCAGCTACTGATGGCTATATTCTTTGCTTGACCTTTATGGGTTTTGTCCCTGGATCCCAGTAAAATTGCTTCTGGTTGTTAGTGAAGCATTTGTTGCATTTGAAGTTGTTGACCCTTTTGGTGCATCATCTCTATGCCCAAGCTTGTATCTTCATTTTCAGGTTCTCAATAATTGTTAGAAGATCCACTTCAATGGTCTTGTACTTGGGGCAGAGGCATTTGTAAGTCATCTTAACCTTCCGAGTTGAGTTTCCCTTCTTGATCTGGAAAGTGCTGGAGGTCTCTCCTTGCTACATCAATTTGGTGTTGGAGTAATTTCTTCCATGGTGGAATCATGGAAGTGCACTTCCCTGGAGTAGACTTTTCTTGTGGTTTTCATTTATGATGGATGGTGAGGGCAGCAGCAATGGCATGATTGTTGAGCACACTCAGATCACATTCTGCTAGATTGCAGCTATTGATGATCTGGTTGATCTCAGTAGGGCATTGCAGTATGTGATACATTTCCCAGTAGGTATACTGTAGCTCAATACCTTGGTATACCGGTGATACCAGTGAGGAGTGGGGGGGGCTTCAGTCAAGTCAGAAAAAACCCATAAAGTGAGCAAGTTTTTCTGTTGTGATGGCATTGAGCTATTTGCACATTTGTATTATGACATTCAATTGAAATCAAGAGGATTTGCTCATTTCAACCCAAATGAATGGGTTTGGTAGGCATGTCTAGGAATAATATTGAGATTAAAGTTGCTGGGAGGATTCAAAATATGGATCTTNGTTTCAGAATATTCACCTGCTGACTGACTTTGTATATATGCATGACTTTGTCTGTATATGCCTTGTATATATACAAGAATTTGAATGTTGGGTTGAGAGGTGGTACGTAAATATAGCTGCAAATGGATATTACATTGAAAGTAGACAATTGTTTCTCTATGTCTCCTCTATCAATTTCAAATGTTATTTTGTAAGATTTGGAATAAACAAGTTATACCCAAACAGGCATTACTTTTCAAGCACCCTGTGTATGTATACGAGGTGTGATCAGCAAGTTCTGAGACTGAATTTTTTATGACGCTGTGGTGGCTCTTTCCAGCTACTGATGGCTATATTCTTTGCTTGACCTTTATGGGTTTTGTCCCTGGATCCCGGTAAAATTGCTTCTGGTTGTTAGTGAAGCATTTGTTGCATTTGAAATTGTTGACCCTTTTGGTGCATCATCTCTATGCCCAAGCTTGTATCTTCATTTTCAGGTTCTCAATAATTGTTAGAAGATCCACTTCAATGGTCTTGTACTTGGGGCAGAGGCATTTGTAAGTCATCTTAACCTTCCGAGTTGAGTTTCCCTTCTTGATCTCCTGGAAAGTGCTGGAGGTCTCTCCTTGCTACATCAATTTGGTGTTGGAGTAATTTCTTCCATGGTGGAATCATGGAAGTGCACTTCCCTGGAGTAGACTTTTCTTGTGGTTTTCATTTATGATGGATGGTGAGGGCAGCAGCAATGGCATGATTGTTGAGCACACTCAGATCACATTCTGCTAGATTGCAGCTATTGATGATCTGGTTGATCTCAGTAGGGCATTGCAGTATGTGATACATTTCCCAGTAGGTATACTGTAGCTCAATACCTTGGTATACCGGTGATACCAGTGAGGAGTGGGGGGGGCTTCAGTCAAGTCAGAAAAAACCCATAAAGTGAGCAAGTTTTTCTGTTGTGATGGCATTGAGCTATTTGCACATTTGTATTATGACATTCAATTGAAATCAAGAGGATTTGCTCATTTCAACCCAAATGAATGGGTTTGGTAGGCATGTCTAGGAATAATATTGAGATTAAAGTTGCTGGGAGGATTCAAAATATGGATCTTGGAAAAAAGCATGATGGAAGAGAAACCATCTTATCATTGTGCATGACTGCACATTTCTAATTGGTATTGAGTGTTCAGGCTCACCAAGCAGTGACCAGGGGCACAGTCATCCTATGCCACCAAGCACAGTCAAGAGGCAAGTATACCCACAAATGACAGATCTTGATTTTTGAGTCTGGATTAAATATACTCCTGTGACTTCCAGGAAGTCTTCCCCGGATGGTAGGTGTCACAGTGGATGGAGACTGGGAGCATAGTTGACAAAGTATTTAATTTTTTATAAATGGCTCTTGGTATGGTGTCATGGTGGTGGTATGATTAGAGGTGGTGTCTTACAATTTGGGATACTGTTGGGATAGTACGAACAAGGACGGTGTTCCACAGTTTTCATACTATGGCAATAATACCAAAAATTGTAGAAGGGGAAGTATGATTATCATGAGAACTGAATACCACAGTATGATGAAAATACCAGTATGCTGCAACACCCTATTCCTAGGGGTTGTTCAGCCATCTGCATGCATTGCATATTCTTCCAAGTTGTTAAAGAAGATGGGACTTCTCTGATGGTACTGGAGGTGCCTCTAGAGCAGCAGGGGTGGCATCAGTTTTGGGTCTGTCTGGTTTGGAGGTGTCCAATTGGAACATGTTCAGTACATCCTGCTTGGTTTTTTCTCACTTTTGTTCTGAGATCAAGTTGTTTTGCTCGATAAGCCATTGTTGATCAACAAGATGCAATTCAGTTATCCTCAGCTCTGGATGGTGTTGTTGCCAGAGTTCAAGCATTTTAACCCAGTACACTCCTGGTGCATCGAGCTGTGCCTGGTAGTAGACCCACATGATGTTGATATTCATAGACTTTGTCCATCTCATACATTTATTTTCATGAGGCACAGTTCCTGGAGCAGGGGAGTTTAGGAAATGAACCCCAGCCCCTGGGACAGAGGTGGAAGTTTCATCAGTTGCCCTTACCCCCAATCCTGCTTGGTGAGGAGCAGGGGTGTGGGAGCCTCTGGATGCATACTTTTCATCAGCTACACCAGCCATTGCAGTCCTTTTTATCTTGGGCAACAACCAAGCTAGTATGAGTGATATGATGAAGTTGAGACATCATATAAATATGAAGTTGAGGATCTGACATACCAGGCATGAAGCCACAGCCATCTTTTATGCAAAGTGTGTGTGGTGATCCTTTGATCCATGAGACAGATTGACAATTGGACTGCAAGAGTCTCGTCTGCCCTATTGGTGAAGTGCCTTGAACCATTGGATACAGCAAATTATTATCATTATTATTATTAATTAATTTATTTATTTATTATTAAAATTTTTAACAATTCAAGTCATAGCATAAGGCAATCAAACTATGTTTCTCTTCCAGCGGCCCAGGTGGTTCTGACTGTGAACAACCTGACAATAGCCTTGTGTGCAGTGGGAGTCTGCTTCCTGTTTCTGTATCATGTCCAGTGGGAGGGGACATGGATTCTCGTACTCATGGAGACAGTGGTCATTGTCTTGGCTGCCATTGCAGCCCTTGCTTCTGAGACCTCCAAGATCATCCTTGAGAAGGACTGGATCATTGTAATTGCTGGAAATGACAATGATCGGTTGGCCAGTAAGTCCATAAGGCCAGTTTCACCCTGACCGTATGCTACTAGTTAGGGATAAAAGGCTTTTGCATTTTTTGGGTGCTCCGCAAGAAAAAGATGACGTATCTAATAGTGGTTAAAATGCACGGAAGCCCCTTAGGGGCTTGAGGTGATAGCAGAAAACTAAAATTATCCATTAAGCCATCCTCCTCTGGACAATCACCAAGTATGTTATAAAATGTGATTTTATTTATTATGTGAAGATTTGATTGGTGAATTTAAAATTAATATCAAATGAAAAGATTTATTTTAGAATAGACCAGTAGCAGTTGGCTGGGGCTTGTAGTCTGCATGCACCAGGAAATGCATGAAAAATTTATTTGGTTGAATACTCATAATACCTTTGGCTATCTTCCTCTTGGTCATCAGACATGAATGCTGTGTTCCGGACAATAGACCTGGCAACGTTTATCTTGGCTCCCACATTGGTGGGAGCAGTAATGAGCTTCTGGAACTCTGTGGGAGCAGCCATCTTCCTTGCATCATGGAACCTGGTGTCTGTGATATTTGAATATGGACTCCTGTACATCATCTTCAAGTCCCTTCCTGATCTGGCCCACAAGAAAGCCCTTGACACCGATGCCCTCCAATCTTCATTGGCTCCAGATGTCATGACTGACAATGTCAATCAGCCTCTAAGCAATGGTATATTAGACTTCGTTTCACATCATGCCATGGTCAGACACCTGAATTTTTGGTTGAAGACTACAGTTCAATAAATGTCTCTAAGTCTTGCCTAGCACAGTGGCTCTCAGCCTTTTTTTATGTTGCAACCCATTGAGCCCTCTTTCCATATTTAAGCAACCCACAAATTTAGAATTTCCAGAAATAATGCAAATGTGTGTGATTCCTTCATTATTCCTTTCTGTTTCTTTACCTCTGCAAGCTTCTTCTGAAAGTACTCAACTGGTTTATCCTTCAACGTTTGGTGATTGTGATCTAAATGCCACTTCAAACAGTGCATTCTGGTTTCATACTTTCTGACACTGTGAAACCGGACTGAAGGTATGAACCATTTTGCTTCCAAATTGTTTAGTTTTACTAGTTTTGAATTTTTTGCTGGAGGAAAGGTGACTTCACTAGGGGTAAGACCATTAGTACCAGTGCTTGAACTCAGTTTTATCTGGAAATGATCCATCTGCATTTGAATGCCAAACCTAAATAAGTAAATACAGGAATTATGGATGAGATGAACTTCTTAAACCTCGCCCTCCCAGGAAATATAGAAGGAAGTATTAGGTTGGTTTAGGTAGCAGAAAAATGAAATGAAGAAAATAAACATCAGCTTTTGCTCACAAAAAACAGTGTCACCCCAAACCACAGCAATGAGGAACCAGAGAGAATGCTGGATGTGATGAGGAGTTAACTGGAGATGGGGAAGAGCAAGAAAGATGAAAAACATTTTATAGCTGTTTGCCCTCTCTTGGAATTGTTTGCCAGGAAGCCTTCTCCCTGTGCTACCTTCTTATCTGGATTAGATTAGACCATTCCTGAAAAGTTTAGTTCATGTGATATTGTCCTATAGTTCAGTTTGATGCTTATGATTGATTTCTGTATCCTCTAACTTCTCTCTCATTCTCTTTATTTTTTACTTATAATTCATTTCATTCACTCGCAACCTACCTGGAAGACTATTGCGACCCACTGACCTAGCTTATTTCACAATGCATGTTACAACTCATGAGTATGAAGTCTTCATATAATACTTTTAAGGAACTGCAGGCTGCCAGGAAGGGTGTTGCATTTGTAGACCTACTTTGAAACAAAAAAGACTGACCTGAGTAGCCCACACAAGTCTGAAGGTTCTGACAATGATTTATCAAATATGGGACTTGCTTTGTTCCTGCTTTCCATTTAAGAAAATACTACATACTGTGGACATGTGGAACATGATATCCTTTAACAGCTTTGTTTTCATGCTGCTTTAATGGTAGAGTATTTATGGTTCAAAAAATGTATTCAAGAAAGGACTCGATATGAAGAAGCAATCTCCTAGAAATATATTAAACAAAAAATTGTAAACCTTTCTGTAGAAATTTAAATGTGAGTCCATGTCCCAGCATATGTGTGGAGTAATGCTCTTCTCCCTCAGATCTGGAGGTATCCAGTTCTGCAGCAGCTCTTTCAAATGGAAAAGTTTTCAAACCTGAAGAATTACAGGCAATCATATCAGGGGAATCTTTTCTGAAACACTTCGCAGACTGATGCATGATTTTGAAATTCCCCTGCAATTTCATAAATATGCAGCTTAGAACAAAATAAAACAATTCTACCATTTTTTAATATTCACTGAGCATTCTTGAAAGCATTGATAATTTTTTGTTCTGGGAAGGATACAAATTTTCACTTTTTTATTACTAGAGTCTGAGAACTCAAATTTGACCTAACTCTTTTCTATTCAGGCCCAGCTGAGGATGAGTTGCAACCTACGGTGGTGAAGATTGTACCACCAAAGCTGTCCTTCAAGCAGAAGATCCTGCATAGTGCTGCTGGCTGGAAGCTCTACTTCTCTCATGCTGTGTTCCCAGCTGCATTTGGCCTTGCTGCCATCTACATGACTGTCCTTGGCTTTGACAACATCACCCAGGGATACATGTTCTCACAGGGAGTGGCTGAGTGGCTGGTCGGGCTTCTGACAGGTATTGGGGCTCTGACAGGTCTCCTGGGTGCACTTGCCTATCCATTCATGCGCCGACATCTCAGCATTGAACGCACTGGTCTTTTTGGATTTGGTCTTGAGACCTTCTCCCTCTGCTTCTGTGTTGCCTCAGTCTTCACTACTGGGTCCCCCTTTCAGGTGAATGGGGATTCTTGCACTACAGCAAAAATTCCTTGTTGCATTGCTCATGAGCAGTTATGAAAATATGACAGCAATAGAAGCTATTGTACATGTTTGGGTCGACTATATTAGTACTGTACAGCTGTCATTAAATATACTTTTCCAGTAAGGAAAAAGTGGACTCTAGAGAAGTATTGGTAGCTATGGACCCATCTATATTTCCTTGGTCACCTTGCTTAGTCTTTACCAAGAAAATGTATCTATCTCTTTTTGAGAATAAGAGAAGAGGCATGCCTGCTTTTCAAACAGCAAATATTAGAGATGCAGTGATACTGAATTTTGGTCGATATCTGATGTATCGATATTCTGATATCAGAAAGAACCAATACCGATAAACAATACCAATATCTGTATCCATGCATTATCTCCTCCACTGCTAAGTTTTATTTAAGACCTGGTCTTATGGTGAAAGCATGAGGTACATGATACCCAGTGAAGAGAAGCAAATGTTTTGTTCATGCTGAAGCCAGGCCCTTCAATGTGGACTTTAAAATATTGCATTAAATTTACATCAGACATTTCTAATGTCTTTACTATGTTCCCTAATAGAACTTGCAAGAAGTTGAAAACACAATTAATTTTTTCAGGAGAAGCACTCTGTAAAAATTGTAAAGAATGTCAAAGTTCCCTCTATCTTATCTCCTCTGGGCATCCAGAAGACCATTACTGACAGATTGGTAACACATCATCAGATAATTTTCCATGCAGATGAAATGCAAACATAACTGCTGTTCAGGAAAATTGAAGGGGATTAATTATATTTATTATATTATGAATATGTTGTATAGGTAGATATTTATGTGACACATTATATTATAAGTATTATTAATAAATTAGGGCTGCACCATTGTATCAACAATAACTGGTATGGGCTGCCAGTGTTGCACCATCAGCCATATGTAGGGTTGCAAGCTGTTGATGCTGATGTCTGAAGGAGGGGCAAAATGAAAATAAAAACTAACAGGTGTGTAAGCACAGCTAGGCACCAGCCCTCCTGTCTCACTGAAAGCCACTCCTGCCATGCCTCTCCCAGACAAAAATATTGATATGATTGTATAGGTTGGGCCATTTATATCTGAAACATTTATTTTTGTTATAAATCAGGACTGACCAAAGTAATGCAGGTTGTTATTATATCAAAGTGAAGTACAAACATGGGAAATTGTCACACTAATTATCACTGATCTATGCCTTAAAAATCAAATTCTTTAAATGCTTTTCTTCACAATTGATGCATTCCCTGTATCGAATCACTACATTGTTCATTATTGTCCTCAGTGTGTCTTCACCAATAGCAGCAATGGCATTAATCCTAATTTTAAATTCATCTCTACTTCTGGGATGTGTCTTGTAAACTTTGCTCTTCAATAATCCCCAGAGAAAAAAATCAGGTGCAGGATTTTGGCATTTTTAAGGCAACAGTTTGGAGAAAGGATAATTTCTTGGTTCAGCACTGTTTTATGGCCACCTGGATGTGAGACCTGTCCACACCAGATTTTTTTGTGCATGTTAGGGGGCCCCACTGGAACAGGTGGTGGAGTTTAAGTACATTGGGGTCTGGTTCTCAAGTGATGGGTGATACAGCACAGAAACAAGATTGACAGCTGCATCTTCAGTGCATCTGCAATTTTGTGGGAACTCTGTTGAACTGTGGTTGCCAAATCTGACATTTTCAAGGTGAAACTCTGTTTTTAAAAGCATTTACCTCCTTAACCTCACCTATTGTAATGAACTATGGGTAATGACTAGAAGAATCAGGTCATGGATACAACCTGCCTTAATGAGGTTCTTGCATCATGTGGCTAGTGTTTATACATTGTGAGAGGATGTAAAATGCTCTGAGAACTTTCAGGTTCAAACAGCTACTTCTTTGATTGAGAAATCTCAAGCCTACTGGTTTGGACACATCACCTGTGTGCCCTTTGAGAGACTCCAAAATTTAATCTCTCAATCCAAAATGACTGGCAGAAGACCAGTCATTAGGCTCCATGCAAGATGGATGGACTATATCACATTACTTTGCTGTGAGGGGCTTAATATTCCACCTGCAGAGCTTAAGTCTGTTTTAAGTTGGGATAAGCAACTGATGATGAGAAGAGATATGACTGAAGAAAGGAAAGTCATTGATTCCTACCTAGAATTCAGCAGTTTTCCTTTATCTCATGCAATAAAATGCTCAGTAGATGAATTTGCATCCAATTGCTATTCTTTTCCTTTGCAGTGGGATTATCTCTGGAATCCAGAACCATCGAATTCCACCATTGAGCCAAATGTGAATGCAACCACAGATAGCGACTTAGTGAACTTGCCAGGGATTTCTGATGTCACCATCTCCATCATTCTTTTTGTGACCAGCATCATTGCTGCTCGATTTGGTAGGCTTTCAATGTAATCGCATTCCCTTTTAGTGGGCTTCCTTTCTTCAGAAAAGAATAAGTTCCATTGTGTATACCTACCTTTATTGCTTTTGTTGTTTGGTCATGTCTTCATTTCTAATTAAGTTTGATCCATTAACTGTTTTTAACCCATAAACTGGCACTATCCTATTTTGAGGACCCCAGATTCAGATGTTTCCAATTATTTCTAGTTTAATGTTTTGAAGAATGAAGTTGATTAGAAATGCTTAGCGCACCCTCTATTCCATAGAATTAAGTCAAATATGTAATAAATACACACAAGGGTTGTTCTGAAAGTAAAGTGAAACTCATATATGTCATAATACAGGAAGCTGACTTTTTATTCTCTTTTTTTTTATATAGGATTTTGGAAGTTCCAGTGAATTTTTGCAGTATTTTTTGGCCAGCATGAGTAACCGAAATTTGTGAAAACATGAGGCCCCCTTCTGAGGTGCAGTTGTGTGACTGATTTTCATATAATGGTTTTCTGGAATTGCAAACCACTAGAAACTGTCAGTGCCATGAGCTTGTTAAAGCCTTTTACACCAGAGCCCCATCTAAAAAGTTTGTATATGACTGGTTTGCCTGGTTCCAGTGTGATCAGACTTATCTTGATGATGCCCCTCATTAAGGGCATCCAAAAACTCCTTTCATTAATGCTAATGTGGAGAAAGTCAGGCATCTAATTATAGATTACTGAAATAGCCTCCCATGCCCTTGAATTGACTGTTGGCATTGGAGTGGCAACATTTAAAAAATTCTGGATGAATATCTAAAGACTAGAAAAATTGTAGCCTGCTGGGTCCCAAAAATCCTTATTGAATTGGGCTCAGGAAGTCCTGGACAAATTAAAAAAGACCAGCGCCTACAGCTGCTATGCTGGTTATCTAATGGATGGATATTTGAATATGTTTACTTGAAGATATGAAGCAGTTTGGTTCAAAGCAAACATTAAAATCAAAGTTTTTATGGCCTAAAATGACATAGCCTTGTAGGCCTTACATGTTAGGCCACGGATGAGTGACAACCCTTCACCATGATTTTTGGCCTCTTTCAATTTTATGGCCTAGCTTATAGCCTAGAATGGCATAGCATCGTAGGCCTTGTGTGTTAGGGGTGACAGCCACCACAACTTTCAGCCTCTTTCAATTCAAGTAATAGATTATTTCTGATCATGCTTCAACAGCTGGTTTGAGCCCTTCACAAGTGCATTGAGGCTTAGGGCAAATACTTAGTCTTGAAAAGAATGTGCTTTCAAGGGATAATGAAAAAAAAACAACTGAACTTTTGGGAAATATGACATTCACTGGACTTTCAGAACGACCCTTATATATCCTGTAAAAACAAGTTGATACAGGTAGTATTGTGGCAATTAATGGATTCAGTTAAAAATGTGAAATTTGCCAACTTGATGGCCTGTCTCTCACTGAAGCATCCTCATTATGCACAAATTAAAAACAGGCAGCCAGGAAAATAAGCATTTGTAGGGTCTACCTTGCACTTATGGCATGAGGATACAATTTTCTTCTTCTGGGAAGGCCTGTGGGTGGCAGACCTGACAGTGACACAGATCATCCAAGAGGGTGTGGAGGAGGAGCACCGAGGGAGCTTCAATGGGGTACAAAGCTCTATGAACATGCTGATGGATCTCATCAAGAATGCTCTGGTTACAATTTTTCCCAAGCCACAAACCTTTGGCTACCTCATCATCGCCTCCTTCTCATTTGTCTGCCTTGGGTTAGTTTTCATCTACATGCAACTCATCATTACAGGTGCAATTGATGTAGCTTTGAAAGTGTAGGCAAATTTTTTATTCAACCTTGTGGAGTGATGTCATATTGACATGAATGCAATCAATATATTAACCTTCACTTCCACTTTGGGGTCTTTTCTGACCTCACTCCTCAAAAAAATTTAAGTTTTCGAATTGCATATGAAGGTTTTAAAAGTACTCACCCTGTTTAACCTTTTCCACTCGAATGGGCGAGTATACTCACCCATTGGTACTTTGACTCTTGCACTCATTTGGTGCAGTATAGTATACCACAGATTAAAAGTCTCTTCATTCACTCGGGTGGGTCATCTTGCTGCACCGGAAAAAATGACGTTTTTTCATTTTTTTGTTTTATGCGCTAAAAAAATACGAGCTACCGGAGAAAATGCATGAAAAAAAATTCAAGTGGAAAAGGTTAATACACTTCTACAAGGGGTGTTCAAAAAGTCTTAGGACATTTTCCATTTCTGCCCCTTGACCTAGCTTGACATCCTTGCAAATTTGCTAGCTTAACAGCCATCATGAGTGCAATGAGTCATTCTGAGCAAGAGATAATATCAGCTGTTTCAAGAAGGCTTCAAGCTGTGTGTGTGAAGTCTGCATTGTCAAAACAGACAGTCTACAACAGGGTGCTTTCTTAGTCCTCAAACAACTGAAGATGAGCCATGATTTGGCATACCAAGACCTCCACTACAGAATAAAACATTGCAGCTGTTGAATGATTGGTCATGAACAGCAGACAAATCACACACCAGGAGCTTGTTCTCACAGTTGGAATCTCAACTGGTTCCATAATGCCATTTTGCATGATAATCTGCAGCTGGGAAAGGTTTGTGCATGTTGGGTGCCACAACTGTTGACAGAGGAATTGAAAGTGTGATGGGTACAGATGAGTGTGGAACTGCTCTGCCTCCAAAACAGTGATCCAGATGCTTTCTTCAGATGCCTTGTTACCAGTGATGAAATGTGGTTCCACTTCCACAAAACTTCTTTCAGGGTAACTTCATTCAGAGAAACAGTGTGAAGTCACAAGGTCTGAAATACCCAGAGAGTGCAGAGGATGTGGGAACAATGCCAGTCCACAATTGGTTAGAAATTCCATGGTGCTGCCATGGTATTGATTGATTGCTGGCAGTCACTGCATATGAGCTCAGAAAGAGCCTGCACAGTTTCCTCATTGCAGCTTTTCTATGGCTGTCCACTGCATTTGTCATAATCAAGGGAATATGAATACCTTTGTAATTCTCCTAATTCTCATGTGTGAGTTGCAAATGCAACTGGGGTGCAGGAATGTCATTTTGGGGAGGCTAGGGGAGGCAGATCCCCACCCCATTCATAACTCTTTGCCTTCCTCTGATCCAGTTACCCCTATCCCCCCTTGCAGAGTATGAAATTATGTCCCTGGAAGGATGGGAAACTGTTGAAGATAATGAATGCAGTAGACAGCCATAGAATGAAAATATATGCCCCCATACATTTTCATACAGTGTTCCATTTAAAATGCAACCCAACAACAATCATGTACTATGGTACAAAAATGAAGTCTTGTCTTGTCTTTGAGAAGGTGGTGGACATTTTCAGCATCTGCTGTGAAGCTGTTCTGTATGTTCCTGTAATATTCTTTGTAACAAGTAAAAACTATCAAACAAATAGTTTGTCTTGTTTTATTGCTGTTGTACTTTGGGTTGCATTTTAAATGGAACACCCTGTATATTGACTCACACAAATGCACCATATACTGTCCATATATACCATGTCATATCTACAGTATGTATGGTGAGATTAACTGAAACATGCCTGTATCCAAAAAGATCCATAATCCGTCAAATATTGTATAATCATTCTTATAATATTCATATCCATACTTTACTTACTTTTATTGCAATCAACTCATTTTTAATTGTTTATAGACCATAGTCAATTATTCCAAGGACTCAAGTTTCATGGTGTTCAACATATGTTACTGAAGGTGAAAGTTTCAATATTATAGAATTTAATATTCACAAGTATTTTCATTAGCAATGCTATTTCATGACAAAACTTGGCTTACTCATGTAGGAGTGTCTCCTTCATTTTGACTGACAACTCACAAGATAGATGGAAGCAAATATGGTTTTTCTTTCTGAAATAATCCAATGAAGGAATGGTCTGGGGAAGAAATGGTTCAATGAAGGAAACTGAGTTACAGTTGGGAGATATGTCTTTCTCAGTTCTTCTTTCTTTTGTGTGACATCCCACACGTGTGTTCATGGGCAGGGGGGGTGCAGCTGCCTCCCCCCTCCCACATCCCTGGGACAGGGCTTGGCACCTCCACTCTACTGCCCTTTCTCCCTGACTCCTCAGCCAAAATATGCCACTGACCTCATGCTATGTTTTACTAACAACCATAAGACTTGTCTATGGATACTCACCATATATCAAGACATGATGCCATTTGCCCATTACACTTAATATTGTTATGCAGGTAAAATATATTTTATGGCATACTATTGATAAGATAGAAATGAATATATGTTTGTGGTATATGGCAAATATATGATCATACATGGTCATGTACAATCAGACACCCTGTCATATATGGAATTTTCACATGGGTATTCACTTTGTACAGACCTTTAGTTAATACATACAACTTGAAACAGTTCCCCGTTCAAATTTGGGCCTGTTAGTACATACTTGTTGTCATAAATCACAAAATACTTGTGGTCATAAATCGCAGCATATGTACAGTATTCTCAGCATCAGACACATTCTGTCCTCCTTCCTGATTGTGGCACCTATATCTGGCCTTAGGTGAGATCACCAAGCAAAACAAAGGAGCCATCAGATGCATGTCTGCTGACAATGCACAAGTGGCAATTTTTATATTTGTTACATTATTTCATTGGAGGCTGGGATTTGGCCCAATGGCCACTTTAGTGAGGTTGCTGTATATGCAAAGGTTTCAGTCAGAGTGTTTGAGTGAATGAGTAATGTAGTCACACACATGCCAGTTGTGAATGAATGAGTATCTGTTGAATGTAACGAAATTCTGGCAGTGAATACCTTGCCTAAAAGTAATTGCTGCTGTAACCATAAGGTTTGGCCTACACAATCATCAGAGTTGTACAGGTTGAGGGTTTACTGTGCCTGTAAGACAAAACTGGTACAACAGGACCTGCTTTTTTCACTAGAAAGATTTATTTTGAAAATTCTTAAGTGCATGCCTGTAGGACCTTTGTGCATCATGCATAGCCAAACTCAGTGCATGGACCAATATGACATGTCTTCAGCAAAATCTGGCAGCCCTGATGTTTTTCACATGAGGAAAGCATCTGGACAGTAGGTAAGCATGTGCAAAACCATGCAGTTTGCAACTCAGTCTGAGTAAATCTGTTCCATATTAGAAAACATGGACCAGAAATCAACTAAAGGGGGAGTATGTTGGTTACTCATATGGAATCTGTTTACTTTTTGAGGATGATGAATCATATCCTAAATGCTTCCTTGCATTCCACAGCTGGCTGTCATATGCGATCTACAGTCGCAGGCGGAGAGGCCACTTGTTCCACTTTGAGAAGGTGGTACCCTGTCTCCACAAGAGTGAACTTCTCCGTCTTCGTGGGCATAGCCAATGGATGAAGGTAGGTGAATATGGGACAATGGGGAGTCCCTCATGGACACGGGTTCATGTCTCTTCCTTCTCGTCCTCATCCTCTGACAGCTCCAGCCTGAATGAGTCCACCCCACTTGTTCCTTAACCTTGTGGCCCATATTTTCCCGAATTATCTTCTTTTTTTCTTGCCCCTCATGAGAACTTGCATTCATCATTTTATGTTCTGTAATCAAATGTGATTCTGGGCTTCACTTAATTACTTTTTTCCTCTTGGGTTTTTTTTTGGGCATAAAGTATGCAGAGCCCATTGAACATTTCCTGCATTTTATACTTTTTATCAGTTGTCTTTATGCACAAGATGGGAAGTTTTTACCACATATTGCTAAAGGTAATATTGAATGAATGTAGCCTTTCTGAAACTTTGATAACAAAGACTATCATTTTTATGAGTTTATATGCAAAAAACCTTTTTGTTTCATCAACTTCATATAATTCTCTGGTAGTCATCTTGTTTCCTCATTGAAGTGTTATCTGCAACTTCATGGTTTCTTGATTTTTATGCTCAGATTCTTGGCTCACTTTTCTGCAAAATGTAGTGCTGAAGGCAAATACAGTGGATGCCGCTTATTGTTATCACATTGGTGCATGAAGCACCCAATAACGTTAACTGGCTGATAATACAGGACTACCCCATCCACCTTAGGATAAGCAAAGTAAGGAAAAAAATGTGAAAACATATGGTAGTTTAAATATTTATTAACAGTTTAATGATTCATTCATTTAAAAAAGCTTACATTAATATAAAGTAATAGAATGCTTTTTTTTCTATATGTATGAAAAAAATGCAAATGTTGAACAATAAATGATACAGTGAACACCTTGTCTCATTGCTGAAAATTTTGAAGAAATTTATCAAGTTTTTGTTGTTTCAGATCTTTAGCAATCATTCTTTCCATTCTGGACTCAAGTTTATAAAAAAAGTTTTTTGTCACCCCCACTTCCAGGGCTCTTCTCACAGTCCAAAGCATAGCTTTAGTTTCATTTGATGTAGACTTTTTATTAGATAGAAGATTTTGATGACAGCAGATGGCAGAATTGATCACATTATCTGAATAAAATATTGTGTTTATAAGATTTGGTTTTGGCTTTCATGTTTTAGTAACAACAAATGGCTGATAGCATGATAGAGCAATAACAATAAGTGGCACCCGCTGTACAAAAATGTTACCTTTCAGTCATTTTATAGATCTACACATAGCTTATTTTGTTATCTGATATGTTTGTTTCCTTGCCTGTTTTCTATTGTGAAATTTTTCAGTTTGTATCATCATTTAGCAACACATATATGTTCAACATCACATATCATTTATAGTCTAGATATGTCTCACAGTCCAGTGTTTACTGGGTGATGCTTATTGAATTTGAAACAATTGCTCATTTTGGCAAATCAGTGATATGTATTCTACTTCTCTTTCCAAAAGCGTGCACATGATCAGCGCTGGTCTGGTAAGGTGCTACCTCTTAAAGTATTTCCATGTTATGTTTCAGACTTGGGAATGTCCATAGAACTCCATCTTCATGATGAAAGTCATGCATGATTGTAGTTGTGATACAGTGTCAGTCACTCATGAATGTAGGTGCAATAAACATGGCATTTGCTTATGTGTCCCTTATTTTCATTTTTGTTCACATCTCTGTGTATAATATGTGCTGTCCTGCTTGAGGAAAGTTAGATTTTCCTTTTTTCTGTGGAGTTCTGACTCTTGCATGTTTCATGCACATGTTTTGCTTAATGAATGATTAGCAATCAAGTCCCAAAAAGCTAGTTTGTGTGTGTGTACATAGTATTGGAATGGTTTTCTTTTAAGGCCTTGCATTGAATTGAATGACAAAAATTGCAAATCAAAAAGTGTTTTGCCTTTATGAGATTGGATCTTTCCAGGGCATTGGTGGGTCCCATCACAGCGCACTCTATCATGAACCACTTGGATATTTGTGCAGAAAGGAGGAGGTAATTCAATCAGTCTCAGAGAGGATTATTTTGTGAAGCAGATGTTTTACATTTGATTCCAATGTTCCATGTGATGACTGGATCCCTGTGCAGTCATGTATGCTCACCTAGTCTATCTACACTGATTTTTTATGACCCATAATTGCACTCTGCAATTAAGGATCATAAATAGTACACCAAAGGCAATAGTATCATCTGGCATCAATACACGTGGAAAATTTTCCATTGCAATTTGAGATGTTGCACCCGTCCACTGTAGTCTTTGAAAGTGGGTGTGAGCATTTTCAGAACTGTAATCATCACTTGGTCACTTATCTGATTGTTTAGCAAACTTGCTAGCATAGTACCAGTCACTTTTTCCACATCTTGTTTGTAATACTTCTATCACATGCTGTTTATTTTCCCACAACTGCAAAAATTTCTCTCCCTAAAAGTCAGAGAACACCTTGTGAAGTATCTACAGATAAGAGTGAACCTCTTGTCATGAAACCTGGGGCAAGTCTGAGAGTTAACATATCAATAGATCCCCTGTTGACTTCCTACAAAAACTGCACACTAATCAGTTCCATATTGTTCCCTATATCTTGTCCTGTGATTTTTTAAATTATGGAGAGAGGAATTTGCTAAATTTTGGCCTCCAAACTGAATTTGATTTACTATGTATCGTCAGAAAGGGCATTCTTTGCTGAACTCAAGATGCAATTATTATTCAAATATGAAGAGCTTGAGAGGAGATTTAGGTGCCTACATGTAAATATTGAATTGCATAGTAATTAATGGAAACAATGAAAAGCCTGAGGTTAAGTGTAGACTAGTCACTGATGATGCAGGTAAACTGCTTATGTAAATGTCCTAGCCTCAACAAGCATGAGAGTAAGTGAAAAACTATTGTATATAAAATGAAAAGCAAGGAAAATCCATCTAACCAGGTGTATAAAAAAAAAAAAACCTTATTGATGATCCATAAATAAAGTTTGTAAAAATGACAGAAGTAAAATTGTTACAAGTCTGTGTCTCTGCTTTTGTGCTAACACAGCACACCATGTTCAGCAATGCTATTGATTATATGTCAAGTTGAGGCCTGCTTATCAGGAAAACTCAAGAACTTTGAATATATAAAGTACTTGGAACTACTGCTTGTATCCAGTGGGCATGTCTAAATGGTGCTTGTTTTATGGACTGATGTAACCAGATTTCACTTGACAAAAAAATTAGACTGTCACCTTATTGATAGTTTAGTACAGAAACTCCACTTCATTGGTGCTTTAACCCTTGAACTGCCAACCATCAATAAAATCAATGGTTGGCAGTTCAAGGGTTAAAGAAGACAAATTCCTTTTCAAGTTGCAGCAAGAAATTTTTACTTTCTGCCAGTTGAAGTGAAATAGGCAATTTATGCTGTTTCTGACTTGATGCAGTTTGGATTCCTTTGGAATCTCAATTCTGTTGATTAGATTTATCCTGGAACTGCTGTTCTTTTTCAGGTCGAAAATTCAAGTAGAAAAAAAGTACAATTATCATTTCTCTGGCTATTTAATACTAAAATGACTGGGTTAGGTATTCAGTGTTACCAACATTATAAATTTCTCCATAGCCATGGAATACCACCAGTATCAATTTTATCCAAGTGGAATGGCATAGAAGTGATTGCCTTTTTCCTTCATTTGTGAGAAGACCTTGCATAACAAATCAATGATTTCTCCATTAAAAAAATAATTATCCAGATCATAGTTCAAATGGACTTTAATTATTTTCAGTGATTTCTCATAAAAGAATTACCATTATTTACAAATGCTTACATGCCCAAATTAACTAGGGATTTTTAAATCTCTTGCCAGATGCCTGTTTTCTTTAATTCCCATTATTCTCAGTTGCTAATCAGTAGAGAGGGACTGGGTCCTAATTTTGCTGGTCTCATGGAAGTAGTGTGACCAACTGTCCTGCATTCTGCAAGATGGTTTCAATTATCTGTTATACATCCCACAAAACAGCAAAAAAGAAACTCTCAAAAGAAAAAGGGGGGAAAATATGCTCTCCTCTCCAGTCATCAATTTCTCCTTTGTGTCTTGACCCCCTCCCCCAATCAGCTTCACATGTCCTGCATTCTAGTCTCTTCAACCTGGTAACCCTACATGGGAGTGGTCATCAGACCAACCATGTACGTATGAGGGGGTTTTTTCCCCCATGCATTCTGACTAGGAAAGGGGGAGATAGAAGAATCCCTGAAAGGTTTTTCCCTCTGGGTTTGGGGAGATAAGGACAAGGGAAAGAAATAAAAAACTGGTACTGGCAAGTTTTTCTTCAGGAGTGTGCCTTCAAGTGAGGAAAAACCACATACTCTGAGCTTTTGTTTTCCATCTCTCATATCCTTGGAAGTTGAGACTAGTTGGGTGAGACCCTGGAGAATGTGTTCATACAGTGTTTTGCAAATGAATTAGTACCAGTTTTAACACAGGGTCCGTGCTTTCCTATGGAGGAATCCTCCCAACCTGGATGGCGGCACTTACGTGACATCAAAAATATGTAGAATGAATTACAGTGATTGGAGAATGTAGAGGCCAAGAATAAAGTATTAAAAAAATTATTGTCTTTTGCGAGGAAAGTGATAGTTGGAATAACAAAGGTTTTACAAGAGGGTCCAGGAAGACATGGAATGATAAAATGTGCCAGGGAAATATTGAGAGAAACAATCAAGTATTCAAAGAGGGGAGGAAGTATATAGAAGCCATATACAAGAAAGGATAGCTATGGAACAAAGTCACATATTCCATCATACCAACAGATTGTTTGGCATTCTTCTAAATAGGAAAAAAAAATTTAAATCAAGTATGTCAACAGCCATAGTTATCTTCAAATAGACATCCTAACATAGACTAGAGGTATGTCAAGTATTTGACATCCAGGGCTCAGATCAGAATGCACATCTGCTCAACTGGGTGCTTGGTGATGATCCTGTGTCTTTGCAACTCTTCTATCCTTTCATATGGGTCACGTGATGTCATCTTTGCTGTCCAACAGCTCCCAAGAGACTGACCAATTGATGGGATGTGGTGCTATGAAGATGGAGGGAGACATCTACCCTCCAGAATGGAAATAATAGTTGCATCTCCTCTGCCACCACATTGGATGCTCTATTGAGTTACCATGCACAATGTTAAAGGTGGTATGAATTCATTTGCAAAACACTGTATTGAGAGCTACAAAGAAAGGCATTTAGATTAATTGAATAATTTTTATGTAGATTCTTACAAGATTTCTGCCAGGTCTAGTTGTTTTACTAATATTGAGGAGAGTATTGGATGATTTATATCCACATAAATGAGAGTTAGGACATGAAATGACCAGTACTGTTCCCATTCACCTGTGCCTAAAGAAAGTGCACCTCATTTTGGATTCTTTTTTATGGGACCAGGTAACCATGTGTGGAATGGTTTAAACTAAAAGGACTGGGACCAAAAGCTGAGAGACACCATGGGATTGGGCAGGAGTGTTTAATTAATTTAATTTGTGCCCCTCTGGTTAATCAGCATGATAATAATGGCCATGAAAGAATCTTCTTCACCTGGGAATCATCACACTCTTTTGATATCTTTAGAAACAAAACTCTCAGAATACTACTGTAAAAAAAAATGAATCCTGGTAAAAAGACAAAATTAAATAAATATAAACATAAATATAAATCTCAGGTGATTTGATTTGCTCAGAATGCCCACTGCCTCGGTTCATTATTAACACATGACAGCAATATTCCAGGAGTTTTGACTTTGGGAAAATACCAGACTGCGAAAAGAAAGTGCTCCAGGGCCATGTCAAGTAAGATCAAATATGTGTAGAGTCCTCTAGGCAAGAGCTTTACAATGATACCCATCTTATCAAATTCCATTTTGAGGCCAAAACCCCTATGTTTTAAGCAACCTTTTCTCCCCTCAGGACCATGTTGTGAAGCAGCCATCCAATGATCTCAATTCAATGTGTTAGGGGGGAACCAGGGGAATATGAGTCAGGTAAAATTAATCAAAGCATCTAGTTTTTATTTGCTTCTGAAGGTGAAGGCCATGTGGCAAAAGGAAGTCCATTTCATGAACAAAATACTATATTTTCAGTATTTTCTTGTGACTCTAAGGCACATTTTTCTGGGACCCCCTAGCAAAAGGTTTTGCAACACCCTATAGAGACAGTCATGCCTCTGAGTGACATGTCAAATTGACAATAGAAAAGAAGCTAACTGGGCCAAATATTTTTAAAGTAACTCACTAGAACCAGAGACACATGGTTGATCTGTTTCATGCAACATATGGTTCTAAGCAGCCCACAAATTATGAAGAGAACAATTTATTTGGAGTTTTATATAGGTAACCCAAGTCTTGGATGAACCAGATATTTGCTTAACTCACAGATACATGATAACTGTTCCAATCAGATTGCTCCAGACAAAAATGATTCCTTAAATGAGAAAAGCACTCCCTGGATGGGGTAATATGACTGGGTGGATTTTTTTAACAGAGAGCTATCTGATAATGCAGTTTTATTCCAGGGAAAATAAAGATATTTCCTGGAAATAAAGCAGCATTATCAGATAGTTCTCTGTTTAAAAAATCCACCCTATGACTCTTACCCAGCCTTGTAAAATACAACATATTATACTTAGAAGCTAAAAAATTATTAGTCTAAAACTTCAGTTCCAAAGTCAATGCCTAAATTTGGTTTTCTATTTCAAAACCATTTTGGTATTGAACTTTGAAAAAAACTTTGTATGATTCACATTCCCCTGGCTTCTCCTAATTTTAATCAACATTAGTATTTTTCCTTCTCTTTTTCTAATAATTGTGTTTTCATCCAATACTCTAGTTGTCTAAGGATAAGAGTGTGATACTTGTTCACATGGTTCAGAATGAGAGAGTAATAAATTGCACTTTTCTTAAAAGTCAATTTAAGAGGTTATCATTGACAGCAGAACTTTCACTTTTGTGAAGTGTAAAGACTATACGCCACATGGAATTTCATGCTAAGGTGCTGCTTGAACAATTTTTGCTAGAGACAATGAAAAAAAGAACCAAAGAAAAGCAAGACTTTATACTTTTACCCAAATAATTCCATCTGAATGTAGAGGAATCATGGGAAGTCCCACCAGAAGGATATAGAGAAACTGGTGGAGAGGGAACGCACAAAATGCCACCACTTCCTTGGCAGAAACAGGAGATCACCAGGCCCCAGGACACATTCATAATAGGGGACATCTTGGAAATTCAGGAATTGGCTCAAATCTGGTTTCTCAACATCAACCTGACTTGTATTATTTAGCAGCATGGAAGAGAAGGGATAGAGTGCATCCGAATAAATTGGATTGTACAGCCGGAAATACTTCCAGCCCAGGACCTGCACAAAGCAGTTGTGTCTTGGGTCATAATGGAGAGGTGAAACCGTCCCAGGACCACCAAACCAAGCATTCACATCAGTCTCACCTAGGCAATAGTCTGGTGTTGAGATATCTGAACGAAGCTCCACAATCTGATCCAGAAGTGAATGCTGTGCCAGGTATCCTGTCCCATTCCCACAAAGAACATAGTCCCGGGCAAATTCCTTCACAGTCATGAGCTTCTGTGTCCAGTCATTTTCTGTGTAACGAGACCCAATCTCCACTGGGACCAATCGAGGGCCACATATTTTTAAAATGTGCTTCAAATCCCACTTCAGTGCTGGCCAATGGTCCACTGCTCCTTTAATTATGACTGGCTCTGATTGATCAACATAATTTGCAATGAATGTCTCAATTGAAGGTAAATATTCAACTGGAAGCAAGTGGTCTGTCACTCTACACATAGGAGTGTAATCCTGAATGATTAAATACTCTGGGCATACTAACCGAACTTCTGGTAAGTCCAATGGCTGATCACCAAAATCAATCAGATAATTAGAAATCAGTGTTGCCAATCGAGGTAACACTTCATTCATGATGGGCTGACCCATGAGGATTCCCATATCACATGCCCTCAAGGCATTGCTTACAGCTTGGTCATTGGCACATTTTAATATGGCAAGAGCCTTGAGCAATGATGCATATGAATATGCATGTCGCCATACCAGGTCCACATCCTTCCAATATCCCACATTCAACCACTCCCATAGAATGTCCAAAATGGAATCGCATGTATCCACAGCCTTGTCCAACTCTTCCCCTTTTCTCACAGAATCCAAGACACAATGGAATAGATTCTTCATCCCTGGCTTGAGAATGGATTCACAGAGGAATGTTTGCAGATCTGTCCAGTCATACATGTATCCACAGCCTTGTCCAACTCTTCCCCTTTTCTCACAGAATCCAAGACACAATGGAACAGATTCTTCATCCCTGGCTTGAGAATGGATTCACAGAGGAATGTTTGCAGATCTGTCCAGTCATCCTGCAGCAAAATATCTTGTAACTTCTGGTGAAGCTCCTCCATTTATAACCCCATCACTGAGAGAATGGATCGTGCAGAGATACGAGAGAGAATGAGCCAAGCAAAAAGTGAGACCCCACCCGACATAGAATCAGACAATAATCGGCTAATGGGGAATGTCCATTGCCAAGGCAGTTCCACCACAATATCTCCACCATTGTTCCAGATCAAGTAGACACTCCCTGCAAACTGTCACCATCTACATTTTACAGACTGGAAATGTCATGATGAAAAGGAAAAACATAAGTTCAGACCCACCTCAAGGACTTTGAGAGCAGTGGTAATGATGAAGCTCTTCCAAAAATCAGCTGTCTTCCTGTGGTTAACTATGAAGACAAATAAGGCAGAAGAATGAAAACTGAATGCCATCAATGATTACTTATAAGATGACAGTAATGCAACATCATTAGTTCCTGCAGAATGACCAGACTCCACATACAAGAGGTGATCCAAAAGTTTCTATCCTGAGATATAAGAGAATGTGATAGATTGTTTAAATAAATTATATGTTTCAGCATAACCTCCCTGGACATCAATACTTATCTGATTGATGAAACAGGGCTTCAATTTATTTTTAAAAATGCCATTTCCATGATCAACTATAATGCTTGAATGGCTTCAGTGAATTGACATCATTGTCAGTTTCACCTTTGTATCCATTTTACAGGATGTTTTGCTTTAAATGTATATCATTGTCTTATTGGAATGAATACATTTATAGCAGATGAATACTTTAATAAGACAAATTAAAAAAACTGCTTCATATTCAAAATTTTTCATTTTGAAATAATAAGTTTTTGTCTGGAACATATCTTACATACAAATTATTATTTAAAATATAAATACACCTAAAACCAATTGCTGATCCTTGAAATTACCAAAAAGGATGAAGGAATATGGGAACCAAATTTCAGCCTTCTCCAACCATTACTCCTACCTCAGGGCAGAAACTTTTGGATCACCCCTCATATGTACCCACAGTGTTCAGACTCTCCAACCCTTCAATTACCAGCTGGGGCTCTTGTCTATTTTCAATATCCAACCTATCTTGAATAATTGCTCATAGCTATGCTTTGGCTTGATGTATTTTTAATTATATTTGACAAGTCTCATACAAAACATATCAGCCTAAGCAGGATACAAGTTTCATGATAACAGCAATAGAAAGAGCAAAGACTTTTTGGTAAAAAATCTTGGACTTTCTTTGGCATACCTTGTATGGTTTGCTGATGCAACCATGCACCATCAATGGTTCAGGTTGATGTATCTATGTTTTAAAAAATGACATCATGAGTCCTGACAGCCCCAATAATGACCATTGCTACATGATCATGTTAGGTGGTGGAAAAGCTTGTCTGGCACCTTAGCTGCCTCAAGCATCATTTATTTTAAAAACTTCAGAAGTGAGGCATAACAGGATAGTTTGAGTCTCAGACATGACTGATGAACTCCTCAGGAGGAGTGGGAGTAGCATAAGTACATATCCTTATGGCAGGTTTACAAATGGTAGTATACAGAGGGGTAAATAAAACCACTCCATCAAATTCTATGGGAGAATTATCATGTGGGAAAAGGTAGAAATAATTAAAATTCCAATTGTACTTTTTGGAGACCAAAGAGGTTATACAATCACTGTGACTGCTGTTATGCAAAGTCACAAGCTGCAGACATTTCATTTTTCAAAAGTACAGAACCAGGAAAGCACAGTCAAAGAATTCAAGCATCTTGTCCCAACAAGGTGGTGCTTCCCCTCACAAAGCTCCAGAGCTACAATTAACTTTCTGAAGGATGTCTTTCAACATCATGCTATCTCCACTCTTCATCCTCAAGAATGACCCCCACACTCTACTGATAAATCTCCTGGATTATTTTCTATGGGGGACAAATTAAAGAGAGGATTTACAGTCTGAAACCTCAGAATTTCCAGGAGTGGAAACAAAGCATTTTGGAATTAAATCAGGAATAAGACAGAGATGCCAGTTTGTAGACAGGCACCTACTTGTGAACTATTTTGTGCTTTCTACTGTCCTAAAAAACCGACACCAGAAATTCATAGCCTTGACTGCTCAATACTTGCCAGCAAGCATGCATAGAATACCAGTCAAAGATATTAATTTTGGGTTTAGGACCTAAAATCTTTCAAGATTATAACTATTTTTTTTTACAGCTTTTCTTGGGAAAGCATATTCCTGAGATTTAAATAAATAATATTTTTTAATTCCTGGGATAGCTGGGCTAAACTATAAGACACAAATTCCAGAGTAGGGTAAAACCATCTAAGTTTGGACACCATAAAATAAATTGTTATAAAACAAAAAAATGTTGAGGTCACCCTTAAAAAAAGGTCTTCCAAGCTGCAAAGAACTGTTTCTGAGGGAGAGCTCACCAATGCTTGGTTTTGTAACGACGTACATGATAGTGTCCAAACTTAGGTACTGTCTGAACTTTGATAGTTACCCTACATACAGTTTTACTTCATTGCAACATTTTATTGGTGATGGAAAATAAAACTTCACAAGGAATTTAATTTTAAAATTCTTAGTGCTTTGCAAAATTGGTAAAATTAAAATGGATACAAAATGTTTTCACTGCACTATACTATAGACCTATTAAAAGTTTTGAAACTATTGCAATACATAATCATGCTGGAACAGGGAAAAGAAAAACCTCGATTCTTGAGATTGTCAAGAGTCTTGTTCAGCTTCCTCTGTATCTTAGCATACTGGGCAAAATGGTCAATAGCATTGACTCCTGCTAGCTGTCCACTGAGGAGACGTACCTCTGCTCTTAAGCTTTTCTCCTCGTTTGTCTCTCGCGTCAACCACTTGGACACCTGCAGAAACCTCACCAAATTGTAACTTAATGCAACATCTTCCTTTCACTTTACCAACAGTTAGATATTTTCCTTGCATCCACAAAACTAATTCCTGCATAAGCTTGTTCAGCTTTTAACATTACAGAGATTTTAAACTTCCTGACAAGAGACTGAACAAAGACTTGACACAGTGAGGAAGACCTAAGAAAAACTTATATTTGAAAACCAACCACTTTGGAGAATCCTGGTATGAGAGCAAAGAGCCAGGTGAAGATTGTAGCTGTCCAAAACATGAGATTAAGCTATGGCTCCAAACAGATGCATATAGTGCCACATTGCCTGTAATAACCCCTGCGAGATACATATATAAATATATATATGAATGACTCAGACAATTGGTTTGCAAGCAAATAAGACTTAAATTATTCTAAGGTAAATTTATGTGTCAGAACAACAAACTTCAGCTGTGAGATAATAGGAACAAAAGACAATATGTCCATTCAGTGACAATCAATGGGAACTATTTTACTTTTTAACCTTAAGTAACAGCTTATTATATGTGTGCAAATTGATTATCTATAGACCTAGGTATCACATCTTTTCTCTTCAATTCCTTCAACAGGCATGTCCTTCATTGTTCAAAATGTAGAAACAAGTGGATCTTGTAGTATTTGGCAATTATCTTAATTTGTATTTTTTTTTCCTAAGAATGGTCTAAATAATGCATAGAGTTGTTGGACACTTGGCTGTAACTCTTGAGGAGAGCAAAACTCTTCACTCAGGGTTTTAAGCAAGGGATGGAAAAATTACTTCTGTCCCATAGAAGAGAGAAGTGATGTCATTCCAAGGCCTGCAGATTGTCAATCTACACATCCATTTTTGCTTCAGATTCAAGAATTTAAAAGCACCATTCATGCTTTCTTGCCCACAGAGGTACAGCAAAGCATATTGGCATGCTTGGCTGTTCTGCATGGCTGATGAACTTTTTATAAAGGTGTATTAATGCGTGGAACAATTTACCCCCTTTCAGCTTCCATTTTCTTAACGTGGTATTAAGTATTAAATTTCTTGCCTTGCAGGCATGGGTATTTTTTACTTTCCATCATCCATAGAGAATAACATTGTTACCTGTGTGTGTAAGGATTATCTGCAATTTTTATTATATTACTTTATTCAATGTGAACTCTATTGGTACTTCTTGACTGTTAGTATGGAATGAATAGGGATGGCAGTCATTTATATTCAGCTTCTTTTTTCAACTGAATGGTATCAAAACTGATGTCAAAATCCTCCCTATCACTTAAACTCTCCAGAGGAGCTCTGACATTTCATTTTTCTTGACACAAGACTGGACAAGTATGACCTTGTGTTGGGGAGGCTCAACATAGGGCCCACTAGAGAAACAGCTAATGTTGGGGCTCCCCTGACAGTGAACCAGAAAAGTTAAAGAAAGCTAAAAACTTTTTCTTTCACTCTTTGCCATGAAATATGGACTGCAAAGGGTTAATGCAATTGAATAGTGAAAGTTTCAGACTCTCAGTTTTATTTCCTACTGCGATGGACATGGTCAAAGATTGTATTCAGGAGGCTAGCCTATCTTGAAGAAGTAGTCATTTGTATATTTAAAATAAGGGGCTAATCATAACAGCAAACATTCTTGTCCGACTACCATACTATCACTGTAGATCCCAGTGATAACATAGGACTAATTTTCAGGAGTAGGCCTACACCACTACTTCACATTGGAAATGTCAATATTCACTTCCTTTTTGGAGCGGCTGCAAATCGACTTTTCTCTTCCTGTCTTCAGCCTTGTTAGCTCACGCCTCTAGTTCCCATTTAGCCTATTTCGTGCTCCGATTAAATTTTTTACACAAGTAAAATTATTGGAAAGAAAATGTTATTTTAGCTGATGCTATTTGTTATGCTCTACACCGCGTAAGTACAGCATAATGTGGGACTTGAATTTCCTGCATTCGAAAATATATAATCAACTAAATAGTAGCTGCAACTCGTGGTCACTTCGGCGCATCCATCATGGAACACAGTTGCATAATGGTTGTCTCCGATATAAATTTCTTTTCGACATTGTATTCGACAGCCATGCCCATTGGAAGTTTTAGTTGATTTATAATTCTTAACTACTGAGGTACTCTGTAACTTAAGTATCATCTTCAAGGAAATGGTCTCTGAGGAGTAACTTCTTTTTACATGGAAAATATAATTAAATATGCCTATTAAAAATTCACTCTCGAAGCGGACTGGTAGGAAATGCTGAAACCTGTTCTGAAATCCATCAATCGCGTCCGACACTTCCAGTCTCAAGCAAAAACGCAGAAAATAAAAAAGTATAGACCCAGCCCTAGCCATAGATGGAATTTCCACGGAGACACCCGGATACAATCTTTGAAGAGAAAATCGTGAGCACAATTAATTTTTTGTCTTTTTTCAGACGAGCTCTGCACCCGGAACTTCTCCTAACGGATATTTTTTACTTTCTCTCTTTCTTATCGATCTTATGTCATCCCATTATCTCACTCATTTTCGTACGTTGATATTCCCGTCCATAAAATATTTCATCCCGCTCGATCGTCTCAAATAGAAAACAAGAAAAAAGAATTTAAAAAAAAAAAACAAGCGAGAGTTCCGGTTGTGTTGGATGAAGGAGTCGGCCTGTCTCCGACATTCAAGGCCATGACGTGATGTCCGCATCAATCATAGCTCAACCATTTACCTTTCCCCTCCTTTTTTGCTGTTTCAGTTGCCGAGGCCTTCCATCCTTTGCCCTTCATCCCTTCATAGGCAGAGCTCTTTTAAGCTTCAAATCAGGTCTTCTCCTCTCGTCCATACGAGTCCAAATATTCGGGGTACCTGGAGGCCATCATCTGTTCCCTCTACCAGATTCCATTGAACCTCTTTTAACAAGAAATGTGACAATAGATAGGATGCTCAAATAGCCAGCCAGTAGATAGATTTCGATGAATGATGCAAGTCGATACGTCCCTCTGCCATCTTTTACCATTACTTAACACGTGACACATGTTCAAGACACAAGCCTGTTACTATAGTATTTCCAAGAAAGAATCGAAGGACGAAAATAGTTGATTTTCGTGAAAGAAATAATATCCATTATGTAGTTCCAAAGCGAATAGAGCAGCTAATGCAATCAGAGTGGATTTGGAAGAAAGGAAAAAAGATTCTTTTCCCTCTTGCCTCGATTCGAAATATTTCACCCTCCATGAGCCACGCTTTCATTGGGATAAACGATGCCTATTCCTTCGGAAATTTCCACTCTTCAATCCTTAGCAGATTGTACAGTTGTAGAATACCTGACTTAGAGTGCGTGTAACTCTTGAGGTGGATTCTTCTACAATGCAACGGGCCTTAAACCAGGTCACTAACGAAATAAAATTTAAAAAAAAAACAAACAAACAAGAAGCTTCATCAGAAGAAAAACGACGTACTCTTTCACAATGGGTGAAATGCACCAGATTCGTTTAACTTTAAACTGATTCGTTTTCATAATGGGCGTTTATGGGAATAAGTTTATCTCTGTTAAACTGATTCCCATAGGGGACCATTGTGAGATCAGATTAGTTTAGCTTATACGGATTAGGTGCATGTCATCCAATGTCAGTCTGCTGATTTCCTCATTTTCGACATATTGTGTCTCCTGAAGGATTATTGAAGAAGGAAGAAAAGTTGAATCTCCACATTGTGGGCAAGCAAGCCATATGATCTTTGTGGATTGAGCCAATGAATCTATCATTTTTTATACCTGGCTATTTAAAATTCTTTAAATTCCTGCACTAACGGAAATGTCGGATACCGAAGATGAATGAATTTTCTTGTGTCTTGGACACTTCAAGCACAGCTCTGCAAACTTGGTATTTCCATGCGCCTCCAGTCGATCTTTTGACCAGTGGCGTAGCCAGGATTTAACCAAAGGGAGGTGCTAGAATTTCTCTAACTACTGCTGTGGGGGGAGGGGGCGGATGCATAGTGGCATAGAGTTAGGGGGCTTCAGCTCCCCCCTCTCTATGCCACTGCTATACATGCGCAAAATGTTCAGTCCAAAACGTCTTGTACTCAAGAGGGATTTTGCTCAGCTTATACAATATACACAACTGAAAACAGCCTTCTTCCATATCCAAGGATTTCCAGGAATCAATCAGAAATTGGCGAACTAGACAAGTCCAGTCCCATTAGTGGGTTTCTTTCGACGTGTGTCGGGAAGCGCAGGAGCATAATACAGATTTTCTCAAAGAGAGAAAATCTGTGATGGGAGATGGAAAGAGAGTAGGAAAAGTAAGGCTGTCAGTGTGGCATTTCAGGATCTCAGCTAGGAATTCTGTCCGCGCTGCCTTCTGCAGCCTCCTTCGTCAAAGGAGGTTGCCCCAGCTGTTCCTCAAAGACGGTTGTCAGCGATGTTAATTATTTTCGCAAATTTCAACTTAGTCACATCTCATCACTTCTACTTTTGTCGAGTCTTAGTCACTCGGTCGAACGGGAATTTTCGTCATTCGCCTATTTTCGTGACGAATAAACTAAAATGGACGGTCGTCCATTTCAGTTAATTTACGTCATCTCACCGTGAGAGCCTATTTTCGTCTCATTATCTTCATCGTCGATGGAACTGAAAAACGCTTCGTGGACGAATATGTTCGCTTCTATTTTTGCTGACGAAATTTACTCTGTCCATCAGCTACGAAGACTTGAAGAACTGGCTGGGGTAACAGCCGGAAACATCTATTGTTGCGAATGCCTCTCCCGCTCTCAGCGAATTTCAATTGTTGACAGAGAAAGAAAGAGAAAAATAAGATTTTAGCACTGCTTTCGCGAAAAACAAACTTCAACGCGTATCTTGCTTACATGTGTCAGCATGCCGATTTTCCCAACGATCGGGGAGGATATTTTTTGCCATCGTTCAACAACGAAGGAGGGAGCATGCCCAGTTTAAAATCCCAACTGGAACTTTCCAGCTGGATTAAAGCTGTAAATTTGAACCATTTCCAGCTGGCAAAGAGCTGGAAAATTGTAGATATCGGTTGTTACAGCTGGAATTTTCAAATTGGAATGCAGCTGGTTTTAATAGCTGCTTCCAGCTGGAAATTTCCAGTTATAATTTTGTACAGAGGGCCGTGCGGCTAGAATACAGCTGAATACACAACTGAAATTCAGCTGCTTCTGTAGATGGACCTTCGACAAGAATAGCCAGCAAAAAGATTCTCATTCCGCCTGTGATATTGCATCTAGGAACCAATCTGGATCCGACTTTACTTTCCAGCTGTTAGCCAGTTGGAATGGATCAGACGAATTTGTAGATGGGGACCAGGTGTAAATTATCGCTGTTTCCAGCCAGGATTTTAAGCTGGA